CTGTAGATGTTGTAATAATTCAGAAATGGATTCCAAATTGAGTTATATTCTATATCAGATTTATTTTTGAAAAATTATTTTAGATATTGAAGCATGTTCCTACAATTTAGTTAACCGTACTTTCACAAGGGTATCAAAGATTCTTTCCAGTAAGAAGCACAAGCTATTTTCACAGCAGTTAATATGTACAAAGCTAATTCAGTATAATTTATGGGGATATATGGGTTTAGTAAAATTTAATAAGACTATCTCTGTTCAAAAAGAAACTGATCTTTTTAACATTTATTTCATTCTAATGTATGTACTGGTATTTTCCATAATAGTTTGGCCTTAGAACGTTGCCCACCAAAAATGAAAAGAAAATCCAATCTGATCATTACATTTCCCACAACATTTAGAAAATGAGCTGTTCATTTTAGCAATCAGAACTGGAGTAATATACCAATAATATATCACTAAGTAAAATTTGTATATTATTAATGTTCTATTTTCATTGAAATTCCCATCTTATCAACATACTGCTTTTTAAAATGACATGCCCAAAATTGGAGAGAAAGTTCCCATTGTTCATGCAATTGAAGATAAAAAGAATAACTTAATTCTGTGTCAATATATCTACCTGAAACATTCTTCAGCAAAGAGTATGAAATGTTACTCAAAAAGTCCTTTAAGATCTGTTAAAAAGATATTGTGAGATCCAAGCTGAAATAGAAAGGACGCACTCAGCTTTATTGTAGAAGCCAAATAATATAAATATTCCACCTGGCCTAACCAAGGGTGACAAAAACACACAATAATTTTTCAGAAAACAAAAATACTGTATTATTAGCTGTTTTGAAAATACTGATGGCACCCTGAGAAAAGTCATTGGATCACAAAGCAGGATCTTCCCTGAAAATCTTTAAAAACTATAGTATATTAATGGTAAACATTTCAGCTTATGTCAGTCTTGCTGTTGGCATTGCATCAGGACTTGGCTGCTCTCCCAGTGTATGTATCTACCTACAACCATGCAAGGTTGTAGCCAAACAGCCAAGTCTTGATGCAACACCAACAGCAAGACTCAGCTTGGACAAATTAGAAACCAGACTTACTGCTTGAGATATGGGAAAAGACAACTGTGCCAGAACTTCCCTTTAATTGGTTTAATAACCAGTTAAGCATGTTTGCTAAGCAGTCTAGCATGCCAATATTTTTTCCCCTTAAACTGGTCAGAAAATTATAATTAATTCTCTTTGCCAAGTGCCATACCAACAGAAGTTAGGAATGGACAAGTACTTTTTTTAAATGAATGAAACTTTTTAAAAAATCTGTATGTTTGATAATTTTTATGGAGGAGATCCTATGTACTTTAAAATCCTATACCTCCCTTTACTATGGGGGGGTTTAAGCCTTAAGCCTGCTAAATATTAAAATATGCAACTTTCATAAAATAGTGTTTTTCAGAGAGGGAGGATAGTAAGAAGATTCAAACCCACCAAACAGTAGCTGGATGACCAGTTTAGAAGTCTTCCAAACAATCATTTACTGGTAGAATATCTATTTAACACAAGAACAGACTTTTTACAGAATTTAGTCTGGGATGTGGATTCATGCAGAGTTTGGCCTGACTATGACCTCTTTCTCATAACCATGCAAATTCCTCCTCTCCTTATATTGGAAGAAAAGTATGTCACCAAAATTTGCCCTGCCCTATTGTTCTGCTGCTGTGATAAGACAAATAATTGATATCCTTACAAATTTAATAAGGGAGAAGTTAAAGGAAAAAAATGGTGAATTGCTCTGGCTATATTTCCAGCCACATCAAGTGCAGGCTTTCAGGGGCCGACAGGAGGAGGGAGGAGCAGTGCTGAACAAACCACCCTACTTCAGGGGAAAGTTAATGGGGACTCAGATCAACTAGCTCTATTGCTTGACTCGGCTGAGATCCACCTAGAGTGCTATAGACACCTCTACCCATCCCACAGAGCCATGGTGAATACCTTTGCTGTGGGGCTAGAGGGAGAAGCAAGGAAGTGGCTAGCAGCCCTCCAGAAGAGGAGAGCCCCCCACCTGCAAGATGTAGACGATTTCCTACGACAACTAGAGGCCAGATATGAGGAGGTGAAGGAGGATCCGTACACAGAAAATGAGCTCAGACACCTAAAGCAGAGGGGATGACCCATTAAGGAGCCTGAGTGGTGTAGGCGGCTAATGCCTCCTACCAAGGCAGCATTTAACATCCAGCTGCCTGCAATTACTGCGAGTCGAATTATCACCAGGCTCAAGGTCGACTCAGCCTTCCATCCTTTCTAAGGTGGGTAAAATGAGGACCTGGTTTGTGGGGGCAATAAGCTGACTTTGTATAAAACATACAAAAGTATGAAGGCTATTGCTTAACGCATTGTAAGCCGCCCTGAGTCTCCGGAGAAGGGCGGCATATAAAAATAAATAAATAAAATAAAAAATAAAATAAAATAAATTAAGGAACACATCCGTGAATTCAAGAGAGTCATACCCCCTTTGCCAGAGCGGCTGTTAGTTCATTTTTTCAGAATAAGCCTGGACAAGCAAATTGCCTGGGTAATTGCCTATTGGGACTTTATTTATTTATTTATTTATTTATTTATTTATTTATTTATTTATTTTTAATTTGATTTATATGCCGCCCTTCTCCGGAGACTCAGGGCGGCTGACAGTGCGTTAAGCAATAGCCTTCATCCTTTTGTATATTTATACAAAGTCAGCTTATTGCCCCCACAAACTGGGTCCTCATTTAACCTACCTTAGAAAGGATGGAAGGCTGAGTCAACCTTGAGCCTTGGAGAGATTCGAACCAGCAGTAAATTGCAGGCAGCTGTGTTAATAACAGGGTGCTTTAAACCACTGTAGTACCAAGGCTATTTATTTATTTATTTATTTATTTATTTATTTATTTATTTATTTATTGAACAGCCAAAATTAAAAAACATACAAATACAAAAGTTAAGATAATTAAAAAAGAATTAAATCATTAGCTTCCCAATTTAAAACCCCCAAATCCATAAAATTTAAAATCCCAATTAAAAACCATTTAGGTTAGGCCGGCTTGTGGAATAAAAACGTCTTCAGGGCTTTACGGAAGGTACGGAGGTCTGGGATCAATCGTATTCCAGGAGGCAGCTCGTTCCACAGGGCGGGTGCCCCCACAGAGAAGGCCCCCCCCTGGGGGCCGCCAGCCGACATTGCCTGACCGACGGCATCCTGAGGAGGCCCTCTCTGTTCGAGCGAATTGGCCGGTGGGAGGTTATCGGTAGCAGCAGGCGGTCTCGCAAATATCCTGGCCCTAAGCCATGGAGCGCTTTAAAGATGAGAACCAACACCTTAAAGCACACCCGGAAGACCACCGGGAGCCAATGCAGCTCGCGCAGGAGAGGTGTTGACAAGTATATCACAAGTTGATAAGGTGTTATCATTGTTAACAAGGTGTTGACAAGTATATCACAAGGCTACATTCTAGGTCTTGCATTATTCTCTCTCTCTCTCTTTCTGAAAGGACAAAAAATTATGGGTGGCTGTAAGGATAAGAAAACATCTTAGAGAACAGGAGAATTTTGAAAGGAACACATGCAAAATCTTACATACGGGTAGGAAAAATCAAAGGGATATAAACACATATGGGAGATGGTACATGTGAAAATGATCTAGCTGTCCTGTTGGATCATTAGCTGACCATAAGTCAGCAATGTGATGGAGCTCAACAATGACTTGAAAAAATTATATTCATGACTCTTCCTCAAAGTTATGACTGCTGCACCATTCTATGGTCTCAATATTACAATTTGGGAGCTTGGCAACTGGCTTCCATTTATGACTGGTTGCAGCCTCCTGAATTCACTTTATACTTTACAACTTGCCCCATGCTAAATAAACAAACACACTTTACAACTTTGCCGTTTTTCAGCAAAAAAACCATGTAATGATTTAAGAGCTGACCAGATGCTACGATGATGTAATACTGGCAATGAGTCAGCAAGGTTTTTGGACTGATATCACTTTAAGAGCCTGTAATAAGAAGAGGCCCTGTTGGGGCATATATATATCCGTGTGTGCATCCATGCTGTAATTGCTGATTGCTGTTTGTTTGAGGTTTGACTAAAGTATGTGTATGTATATATTCTTTGTAGATAAAACCACTATTTAAAATACAATCCTTTGTTAACTTGATTTGCTTCTGGGTTGTCTCAAATTGTCACACTGTGCACACTCTGACAAAACATCACTCAGATAAACTGGATTCAGACTTACAAACATGTGATTCGCTTAATAACTATGCTGACTTGCTTAACAACCATTGTAAAAATAGTTATAATATCAAGTCCAGTCACATGATGGCTCAACTTGCAACCACAATGACTTATGATTGAAATTCCAGGCTCAATTGTGCTCGTAAGTCAAAGACTATCTGCATAGATTTTAGGGTAGATCAGCAGAAATCTAGTATCCAGATCCAGAGAAATAATTCTTCCTCTTTCTTCCTCATTATTCAGACACCACCAGAATATTGCTTCTAGATCTCTACATTATGCTTTAGAAACAGCTTTACAAATTAAAGTGTATTTTGGGAGAGAATAGCTGACATGATAAGGAGGGAGGAAAAACTTAAAAGGAACAATTGGAAGCAGTAGGTATATCCGGCCAGGAGATAAAGAAGCCCATCGGGGGACAAATACATGCCTTATGTATTTGGAGGAATGCCACATACAGTAGAAGAGAGGCAGGATAATTCTGACCTTATATAGGTGACCGTGAGTCATTCTTTAGGAAGTGGGCAATGCTAAACCACTTCCAAAATCTCATCGAGAAATCTACAGAAACCTGAATCAAGATGCAGGGTCAAGACTCACTCAAGGAATATATATTGGGAAGAAGAGTAGATGAGAGGATTTCCAGAACTTCCTGCATGATGTTCATTCTAGAATTCCATGAAAATACTGGTGGAAACATAGATTGTTTAGGGGGGCTTTGCTTCTTCCACTCACCACTTGAAAAGTGTTACCAAGGAATTTCAAAATAATTTGAAGAGCTTGAACCAGCTTCTTGAACTCTTCATCTTCTGCAGAAAACTGATGTCCGAAACTCAAAGCACATATGATGTTAGAAACCGCATTTAGTACTGAAAATGAAGGGTTAAATGGTTGCCCTGTAAAGTAAGATATTTCATAATGAACCCAGCCTCCTCTGTTAACCTGTTTATACTAGAATCAGAATCATATGGCTGGAAGATATTTCAGAGGTCTTCCAGTCCAATCCCCTTCTCAAGGCAGAAGTTTTATACCATCCCAGCCAAATGGTTATTCCATCTATTTTGGAAACTTCCAGTGATAGAGCACCTACAACAATGGAGGTGAGCTCTTCTGTTGATTAATTAATTAATTTACGGGACCGCCTACTACCACAAGCAGCCTCCCACCGGCCGGTATGCTCTCATAGAGAGGGGCTCCTCCGGGTGCCGTCAGCTAAACAATGTCGACTGGCGGCCTCCAGGGGGAGAGCCTTCTCTGTGGGGGCACCCACTATCTGGAACGAGCTCCCCCCAGAGATATGGAGGATCCCGGATCTACACACTTTCCGCCGTGCTCTTAAGATTCTCCTATTCCAGCAATCCGGCCTGGCCTAATTTTTCTCCCCTGTTTTAAAATTCTTTTACATCGAAATTTTAATTTGTTTTAAATTATTGGGATTTTTTAATTGTCTTGGGCTAAATTATTTAATCTGGTTTTAATTATATGTTTTAACTTTTGTATTTATGTATTTTATTTTGTGCCTGTTCACCGCCCTGAGTCCTTCAGGAGTAGGGCGGTATATAAATCTAATAAAAGAAAAGAAAAGAAAGAAAGAATTGTTCTCACTGTCAGAAAATTTCTCCTTACTTCTAGGTTGGTTCTCTCTTTGACAAGCTTCTACATATTACTTTTTGTCCTGCCCTCTGGTGGGCTAAAGAGTAAACCAAATCCTTCTTCTTTGTGACAGTCCCTCAACTACTGGAAGACACTTATCATCTCCCTGCTGATCCTCCTCTCCTATAGATTAGGCATACCTTAATAACTTAATAACCAGCTTAATAACATGGTGCCTTAGACCACTGTACTACCAAGGCACTGTATTACCAAGGTATTGCAATAACTACAGAATTATTTAACCAGTAGATGGCAGTGTATACTGTGTATCTATGCTTATAAGCTATGGTTTCTTATATGATCTGAGGAGAGTTTCCTGTTTACTGTTACAGTAATATAGTTGAGCAGTAAAGTACATGGTGACTGTACTCCTTGTTTGCTCTATGTGGTACTTTATATAAATAGAATTTCTAGCCTTTTTTATTTAAAATACTCAAAATGGAAAAGATTTTACCAGATGGAGATTTGAGTTGTTACCCTAAATGACATACCTTCTGTTTGTCTAAAGATCTCCACCAACGTCTGAGCTGCGTCTTCTATCTGATGCTCAATGCTTTTCTTCCCCAGGCCCAGCTTCCTCAGAGAAGTGATGCCAATGCGTCGCTGCTGTTTCCAGTTATTTCCATTGGAGAAAATAATTCCTGAAGGCATCAGCAGACAATGATAAATGACTCCTCATTACCCTTGTCTTAAAAAACAGGTCCAGTTCTTGCCAAACATCTCTCTGAATTTCAGGTGGGAATACCAAACTCTTGTGACATGTTGCCATTTTTGCAAAATTCTGGAGATGTTACATTTTCTTTTAAAAGTATTTATTCATTTTGGGATTCACATGGACACTGGGAAACATATGTGCTGTGGTAACCGCAGTTGCAGTGCTTGCCAACCTCTGTCTTATATGGTGAACATCAAAACTTCTAAGATGGTGTAATTGTTCATGTACAAGAACTTCTGTTATAGGCACCAGAGACAGGATCTTCTCAGGGATTGCAGAAGGTCCATCTGCACCTTCTTCCCACAACATTGAAACCAATCACCAAAATAGGCAAATGGCTTTTTTATTCGCCTATCACATAATATCACATCGTGGACAGCCCATAACCTGTTAGATGTCAAGGTCCTCTTTGAAAACAATGGACGAGCGTCAATAATATTACCACAAATTGGAAGAGTTTGATAGTTACTAAGGAAGAATTTCTTACAATTTGCACTTACCCCTTCCTTTCCCTAAATCATTCAGGAAAGCATTATCTGGTCGATCACATAATTCTTCTGGGAAGTTGGTCATTCCTTCTTTCACAGCTTTGAATCCAGACAGCAGTATCGAAAGTTGATGTCCGTAGAATAAGGAGTATATATTTCCATATCGTTTTACAGGCTGTCAAGTGAATCAAAGATGAGAAATGTTACAATCAAATACACAGATTATTTTCATTTAATACTGTATGCCATCTACGTTCCTAAATCCTGAATTCTAAGACTTTTCACCTTTTACAATGCTCTCTCTTTAGAATTCTTTTTTCTCTCTCTAATACATTCTTGCCAAAAATTTCTTTCTCATTTTCTGAATTATTTTTCTAAGAAATCATATTCTTTTATTTTTTTTTATTTTTGTTTTGCCTATTTTATTTACTAATTAAATTTCTACACCTCCCATCTGACCTAAGTGACTTCCATGTTTTGTTTGGAAGAAAAGCATGAACATTTCCAATTCATAAACTGATTTTTTTTTTCATTTTTGTTCTGTTCTGTATTACTATTGCTTGGAGATACCCCTCGTTCAAGTAAAATCATATTGCACTAGGGGTGATAGGATAGCAGGGCTCCAATATCTAAAAGGCTGCCACAAAGAAGAAAGGGTCAACCTATTCTACAAAACACCTGAAGGCAGGACAAGAAGCAATGGATGGAAATGAACCAAGGAGAGAAGCAACTAGAACGAAGGACAAATGTCCTTACAATGAGAACAATCAACCAGTGGAACAACTTACTTGTGGGTGATCCAACACTGAAGGTTTTTAAGAAGAGAGGACAACTATTTGTCTGAAATGTTATTGGGCTTCCTGCTTCAGCAGGGGGTTGGACTAGAAGACCTCAAAGGTCCCTTCCAACTCTGTTATTCTGATGTTTCTTTCCAAGAATAGAATCCTGTGGATTGTGCATTATTTCAGCATCCCAAAATAATTTTACAGTTCTCAATCAGTTAAAAAGAATCTTCCAACACATCCTGAGTGTGTATGTTTTTGTGTATGTGTATGTGTGTATATATCCTACATCTTGAGTTGTACAACTCATTTACCTCTGATTTTCTGTTGAAATAGTGGAATCCAGGCAAAGAATATAACTTTCTTCCCTAAGTAAAAGTATGTTACATTGCTAAGAGAACATGGAGCTAGAGAACATGCCAGTAATGGAGATGCAGTTAAATTAGACATTATAAGTACCAATATCTAGGATAGAAAGCAGATATAAGTGTCTGTTTAGAGAAAACTGTTCTTTCTTTTTTTTTAATTTTTATTGAGTTATATTATAGTACAATACAGGTGAAATCGGTTAGACAGTTGTAATTTATATACAAATTGGATGCATTCTTTTTTATTATAGTGTCTCATAATTTACCCATTTATTCTAATATTTACATTATCTCTTATCCCTTCTTTATGCGATGTTCCATCCAATTATACCAAAGTCCCCACACCGTACAGTATTCCAAATCCTCTTTCTCGTTTATCTCATACATTAGTTTGCTCATCTCGGCACAATCTAAGATTTTCTGAATTATATGTTCTTCCAGTGGTGTCTCCTTTCCTTTCCAATGCTGTGCGTATGCTAATCTAGCTGCTGTGATGATATGTATAATTAAATACCTCTTTTTTTCCCCGTACTTTCTTTTTAGTACTCCCAGGAGAAAGGTTCCAGGCGCCAAATCTATTTTTTCTTCAATTACTTCTTGTATCCAATTTTGGATCTTTTTCCAATACTTCATCACTTCAGGGCATGTCCACCACATATGAAAGAAGGTACCCTGATGGTAGTCACACTTCCGGCATTTAGGGCTTATGTTTGGGTAAATTTTCGCTAGCCTTGCAGGGGCTAGGTGCCATCTATATATCATTTTGTATTGGTTTTCTTTAAGTGATGCTGCTTTTGTCAATTTATAATTTCTATTCCAAATTGTTTCCCACTCGTCCAAATTTATATTGTGACCTATGTTTTTTGCCCACGCGATCATTTGCTCTTTTACCACCTTTTCTGCCCTGTCATATTCTAATAGGTAGTTATATAGTCTGGCTAGTATTCCAATGATGTAGTGTTGATTATGGAGGATCCATTAGAAATGGGCCAAAAAGTTCGGGAGGAACTAGGAAGATATGGTGAGGTGTCCAGGTTTAAATTAAATAAAGCCAAAACTAAAATGTTGGTCAAAAATCTGACAGAAAGGCAAAAGGAAGAGCTAGAAAAGTCATTGGATTTACAAATTATTAAAAAAATTAAATATTTAGGAATTTGGATTACATCAAGATGTTCGGCCCTGAAAGAGGATAACTATACACCTCTGATTTAAAAAATTAAACAGGATTTGGAAAGATGGGGAAATCTGCAGCTATCACTTTTTTGGGCAGGATAGCATCGATAAAGATGAATATCCTGCCCAAGTTATTATATTTATTCCAAACCGCACCGGTCACTCTAGATAAAAAAATTTTTTGTAGAATTGAATAAAACCACCAGGAAATTTATTTGGGGTGGAAAAAAACCTAGAATTTCACTTCGATCGCTACAAGATAATAGAAGTAGGGAGGCTTTGGACTCCCAGCCTGGGAAATCTATCACAAAGCAGCCCACTTAGTCTAGATACGGGAATGGGTCACCCTAGAAAATAAAAGAACCTTAACTCTGGAAGGGCATGACCTACAAAGAGGATGGCATGCCTACTTATGGGACAGGAAAAAAAAGAAACAAACATACTTTCACAGACACAAGATAAGGGATACGTTAATACAAACCTGGGAGGAAATTAGACAAAAACAATATATGAAGGTGCCGAATTGGCTTTCAACAATGGAAGCCATGATATACCCCAACACGCTAGAAATTGACAAAATGTTTGTACAAAGAGCTCTTATATAGCTGTGGAAATCTTAAAACTAATGAATTATTAAGAGAGCAGGACATCCATATCGACTGGTGGCCATATTTGCAGATCAAATTGAGACATCAAAAAGATAAGGAGGAATTTGGAATAGAGACGGGAACAAATGGATTTGATAAATTATTGATAGGCCCGGAAAACAGAGAAAACTGTTCTATTCCTTTCTTCTCCGATCAGCTACATGTGAGTCATTATCTAAAATAAAAATTACTCTTCAGAACTCAGACCCAGAAGATTTTTGAAATTATTACACAATTGCAGAATTAGAAGGGGCCATTTGGGCTACAAAGTTCCACCTATTGTCCACTGCAGGAATATAGAACAAGGCATCTTCAACAAGAGAATGTCAAGCTTCATTTGAACAAAATGAAGGGGAACCCTCTCTCTCTTTCTCTGAATAATTAGTTCCATTATCAAACATGAATAGAATAGAATAGAATAGAATAGAATAGAATAGAATAGAATAGAATTCTTTATTGGCCAAGTGTGATTGGACACACAAGGAATTTATCTTGGTGCATAAGCTCTCAGTATACATAAAAGAAAAGATACGTTCATCAAGAATCATAAGGTACAACACTTAATGATAGTCATAGGGTACAAATAAGCAATCATGGGTAAGTATAATATTAAAAAAAAAAAGTAACATGGGTAAGATTGAATTAGAATCTGTCTTCTAAATATTCAGCCCCATTATTTCACATTGTTTTCTTTGAAGCAGCTATAAGCAAGTCTTACCTTAATATTGTGGCATGATGAATTATACCATAAAGAAAACAATTGAGAATTATCTTGCATACTACTGGATAGAATGAAATACCTTACGGAAGTAATCTTCACGGAGCCAAAGCCCAGCTGCGAAGAAGGTCCCAACGAGTGGCAGAGCCAAAGGTCCAGGAGGCAAATGTCTTCGGGTCCAAAGTTGTTTCAGGAAGAAGAGAATCAACAGAGCAAGCAGCAAAAAAATCAAAAATGTTCCTATCACCATCATTGTTCTGATAGTTCTTTTTTTTTTTTTATGTTCAGTAGTAGATTTGGAGGTGGTTGTATCCTTTTGTCTGATGCTTTTTGCTCTTCCTCCTGTTTTACATATTCATTGATGGGATTGAATAACAAGACACGTTTTGATTATTAGTTTGAGTATCACTGGTATTTTGTCAACAAGTTATTATATATTAATCCACATGAAGGAGGTTCCCTCTGACCCTGCGTCACTCAAATAATAAAGAGATCTCGGACTCTATAATCCAATAGGTTCCTAAAATAATACTATGCCAGCATTATTTGAAAATCATGATGAAATCATGATGAAAATCACGGTGTTTCATACATCCATGAAATATACAGGAAAATCTTGTTGGGCCACAGAGATATTATTTAGTCCAGGATTATGTCTCATTCTTATCCTTTCAAACCCAGCATCAGGACCTTAGCATGGTAAAAAGAAAAAAAAACTCACTCAATTCTTCTTACAAATAAGGGAACATCTTCACGAAGGCCTCATACTGCTGAGCACTGTCTCTGACGCTGTGCAGCCATTTGCAACTAAAACAAGTGTAACCACTATGCTAATAAGGAAGTTTTAATAGGTTCTGCAGCAGCTTTCTTGATTGAAAGGCGTCCTAACTCCAAGCAGCAAATTATATGTTATGAGCTATGGGTGTTTAGAAATACCTACTTAAAAATGATGTCAACAATCCATCTGCCTATTCCATGACCACACCTGGAAATGATCCGTGCTAAAGTTTTAGCAGAAAAAATAGCCCAACTTTGAAGCATCATTACACCTAATAGATATCAGGAGGCTTGAGTTATCCTTTAGGATAGTGTATTTTGCCTTACGGTCCAATAGCCATAGCACTTATATACCACTTCGCAGTGCTTTAAAGCAGGGTAGATAAAAATCAATGATTTTTTTTAAAAAAATCAAAAAAATCAGATTTTTTTTATTTAAATCGGATTTTTTTTATTTTTATCAAATTTATTTTAATAAAAAACTTTTGGGGTAAAAATCTATCGTAAGATAGTTTTCTATTTAAGATACATAAATAATTTAGTTTATTCAGCATGAAATGGAGCTTAGTTATGTAGCATGAGGCTGTATATTCTGCAACAGTGGGACTATCGGTGAGTCAACAGTGGGTCAAAGGAGTAGCAGAGATGCTCTTTAAAAATTATGATTTAAATCGAGTTGATTTAAATCAAGCCCTTTTACTAGTGATTTAAATCATGATTTAAATTGTGATTTAAGTCAACTCGATTTAAATCAAATCCACCCTGCTTTAAAGCCCTCTCTAAGCGGTTCTACAGAATCAGCATATTGGGTCCTCATTTCATCCTCCTCGGAAGAATGGAAGGCCAAGTCAACCTTGAGCCTGGTGAGATTTGAACTTGCCAAATTGCTTTGAAGTGTCCTGCATGACACTGAGGGAAAAATCTACCTGTGAGGCTTGCAATCTTGGAACCAATAAAAATTGTGTAAATCTAATCACTGAAAAACTTGCATTTTTGGAGGGGGAAGCCAGCATCAGAAACAGCTTACATGTAATCATTTCAGTAATTTGGAAGGGATGTTTTTTAAAGGCCATTTCATGTGGGGTAGGGCAGAAATGTTGGCTGTCTTATGCATACGGAAATGAGACTCTGGGACTGCATTCATGCAACGTAATTACCTTGGCTTTTAATGAGGAACAGAGAGGTACAGAATTAGTGTTAGGTTGAGAACTAGTTTGGTGTAGTGGTAAAAGGCGCTGGGCTAGAGACCAAGAATCCATGAATTTTAGCCCTGCCTTATGCCCAGAAGCTGCCTGGATGGCTTTGGGCCAGTTCCTCTTCTCTCGGCCCAACCTGCCATGCAGGAATTTTATTGTAAATTATGCAAATAGGAACGTCAGCCGTACCAGGTAGACCTGACAGGAAACACAACCAGATCAGCTAATTCTACTTTACTGTAAAGCTTTTGTTTGAAATGGTATAGGGCTTCCTGCCTAAGCACAGGGTTGGACTAGAAGACCTCCAAGGTCCCTTCCAACTCTATTCTGTTATTCTTTTGTTATTCTTTTACAGCAGAACTCTAAGAATGACTCAGGTTTCACTTGGTTCCCAGGGTCCTTCCACAATTATCCCTTCATAGAACTTTCTTTATGGTAAATGGGTGCCAGGCCCATGCCTCAAAGATAAGAATCCCCCTGTTCTCTCCTTCAATCACCTTCTTGCTTGTTATTCATCTAATTATTTACTTCATGTATAAATTGCCTCATTCACCAAAGTGACTGTAGGTGATATACAATTTATGACTTTCTCTAACTGCTTTTTTTTATATATAATTTTATTTATTTATTTAGAAATACAGACAAAACAAAACAAGTAATAACGAGACATACTAAACATGTAAACAAAAAAGTCAGGTATATATATATCTTATCAAAGTTATCACAACTGTAATCTGTTATATATTTCTCATTTGTATATTTGACTCCTCCCTAATTGGGTATTTTACATTGTGTCTAAACTTTTTTTAAATCACTGTTGGCCTACATTAAGTAATTTGTGTTTCTATATCTACCTTGGGTTCCACTGGTTGCCTCCTAGTCCTGTTTTTTCCTTTTCCTATCTTCCAACCAAGTGTACCATTTATCTCATACTAGATAATAGTGTTAAAGGTGTTCAAGGATTGATGTCTTTCCACTGGATTGTTGAGTCCATCATCCATAATAGGGTAACATAGCATCCTGGTGCAACAGTTTGTTCAAAATCTTCAGTCATCATCTGCCCCCATCAGTAATGAATATCCTCATATATATATAAAAGAAAAAACAACCACCCGAGTGACATTATGATTATATTCCATATAGTTGTAATTGTGGCTTTCATCAGGATGTAGCCACCAGGTCCTGTTTGCCTGTGTACCAATGTACTGGGCTGTTGTTGAGGAAGAATACGTAACCTGAAGTGCTCTTCCTGCTTTTCACGTCCCCAGCCCAGTCAGCATCAGCGTAGCATGTGAGTGTGGGTCCTGTGGTGTTCTCGGGCTCTAGTGATAGGCAAGCATCGGCGCTATGCTTTAGATATCTCAATACCCTTTTGATGGCTTCCCAGTGGTATACAGTGGGTTTACCTACATGTCAAGATAGCAAGTTAACTGGCAGGGCGATGTCGGGCCTTGTCCAGTTCGCAATGTATAATAGAGAGCCTATGGTGGATCTGTATAATGTGTTGCCCTTAAACGCCTCAGTCTCATTGTACATGTCCTTTATGAAGTCTGGTTGCATTGGTGTTTCACACGCTTTGGCATTCGTCATATTGCATTTATGTAACAGTTCCAAAATTTTATCTTTCTGTGATAGTTGGAAACCTTTGTCGGTCTTTGTAATTTGCACCCCCAAGTATTTATCTACCTTACCCAATATTTTCAGTGAAAAGTGTTTCCCCAGTTCACTGGCGAAGTCATTGCATTTGCTAGACTGATCGCCGATGTACAGTATGTCATCCACGTATATCAGGACATATTCAAGAGAGTTGTCTGACTTCTTGGTGAAGAAGCAGTTGTCGGCTGAGGTGGCTGAGAACCCCATGGATTTCAGCATCTTGGATAAGCATTCGTACCAGTGTTTCCCTGATTGTTTGAGCCCATACAAGCTTCTGTTCAGGACCCAGGTTTCCCCCTTCCTGGTGCTTTGGCTAGGTGGCGCTCTCACATATATCTCCTTATCGAGCTCAGCGTGCAGGTAAGCGGTTTGTACATCGAATTGGTGCACTTCTAGCCCAAGTAGTGATGCAATTACCAACGAACATTTTACGCTTTCAGCCCTGACTGTGGGGGAGTATGTTTCAGTGTAATCATCAGGGTATTTTTGAGCGAACCCTTGTGCCACCAGTCTAGCCTTGTAGAGGACTTTGTTTCCCTCTAGTGTTTTGACTTTGTAGACCCACCTGGTGCCTATGGGCGTTTTGTCTGCTGGGACTTCAGAGGGGGTGTATACGTTTAGTTCCCTCAGGCTGTTCATTTCCCTTTCCATGGCTTGTTCCCATTTTGCTCTTTCCCCATCTGGTAACTTCAGTACATCCTCATATGTGTTGGGGGTTAATTGGTTAGTGTGAAGGGATAACACGTAGTCCTCTAACCTTTTTGGCGCTTTGCCCCTGTTTGCCCTGATTGGCCTGGCAGGGGGTGTCTCAGTGTCATGCATGTACCTAGCTTCTCTCTCTGTGAGTGAGTCCACTTTGATGCATGGGTGGATCTCCTTCCACTCCTTCACTAGTATTTCCTGTGTCTTGGGTTTGCCCTTTTCCTGCTCTGTGTCCTTTCCTGCATTGTGCCTTATCTCCCTTTGGCCATCCCCTGGTCTGTCCTTGCTAAGGGACACCTCGTTGAGGTGTATCTTGGACCAGTTGGTGTTTTCATGGAAGACAGCTGTTCATGATATCACAAACCTGTTGTTGCTGTCTATGAATCTGTATCCCTTCGTCCCTGGTTCATACCCCATGAACCTCAACCTTCTGGATACCTTGTCTCCCTTGTGTCTCAATTGCTTGGGGATGTGCACATCTGCTGTGACCCCGAATATATGTAAGTGCGACACCTGTGATTTCCTTTGGTACATCAACTCATATGGAGTTTTATTCAGTACGCTGGACCATAGCCTGTTCAAAGTGTAGTTCGAATAAATGAGTGCTTCTGACCAGAAATACTGCCCTAAACCGGCATCCTCTAGTGCGCACCTCATCATGGTCTGCAGTGTTCCGTTTTTTCGTTCTACAACGCCATTTTGAAAAGCGGAGAACGGAGAAGTCATGTAATGGACTATCCCGCGTGCCTTCAACCATTGCGAGAAGTCGCTTGATAAAAATTCAGACCCCCGGTCTGTCATTATTTGTCTGATCCTGGTGTTATGTTGTGTTTCCACCCTTGCATAGAATTCCTTAAATTTTTGGAATACCTCGTTTTTGTGCTTTAGCGTGCACACTAAGCCATAGCGGCTGAAATCATCCACTATGGTCAGGAAGAACCTCTTCCTGTATTTGATGGAGGGCCTTAGTGGCCCCACTAGGTCCATATGTATGAGTTGGAAGATTGAATT